GTATTTTGCAAGCAACAAATTCGTAATCATTATATTTCGTGAGCAACAAATTCAGAAAATATCTCTGCACCAAATTTAAGCGAGCAACAAATTTTTTACTGCGATATTTTATTTTTGTATCGCCTGCACGCTAAGAGATTTTTCATTATTATTTTCATTTATTTCGTGGATAACGGATTTAAAATTTAGATATTTCTATATTAGCGAATTAGCAACAAATTCCTACGTTATTTTTAAGTAGAAGGTCGCAATATGTATATTATTCCGTTAACTTAATCTTCCTTTAGGAATATCATTTTTTTTTTAAATTTACAAAGCAACTAACTTTTCTTCAATAACTATTCAGTGACAAATGAACAACAAATAAAAATATTAATTAGAATTGATTCTGCTTACTTTGTTCCACTAATTTATAAAGACTCTAAACGCGGTCAGTAATACTGATCAATAATACTGAATCAGTAATATATTGATAATATGCATCAATATTTTCAGTATTTTTACAATCTTATGCGATCAGTATTGTTAAAAATATGTTTCACTTTAGTTTTACATACATTACCTATTGTACTGTGACATGTTGTGACATGGATCCTATAATAAAGCGATACTCGATAATCAAAATCCAGATTGTCGTCAATATTCATCATTCCATCAACATTAATCGCACACGAGTGTAATATCGTCAGTATTTGTTAAAACTGACAAGTATTGACCGTGTAAAGTCACCTTAAAATGCTCAGTTATTAGTACTGCTCGAGTTGTATCAATATACAATTAAATTACCGCACCATCCTAAGCAGATAAAGCGGATTAAACTGAGTTGAAAAGTTCTGTACCGTTTTGCAATATTCGCAATAGTTAACAAGATATTAATTAAAAATCATTAGATATTAGTTTTCAATAACTTTTTACTCAAATACAATACTATCAACTTTACAGAAAAACAGCAAGAGATAAAAATTATTTATTTTCTTCTCATAAAGTTCTGAAAATTTTTTCAGAATTTTTTCAGAATTTTTTAGTACTATTTTCTCATGTTGATAAAAATAAGAAAATGCACTACTAAAAAGTTGATAAAAAATTCTTAGAGTTCTATGAGAAGAAAATAAATAATTTTTTGTCTCTTGCAGTTTTTGTGTAAAGTTGATAGTATTTGAATAAAAAGTTATTGAAAACCAATATTTAGCGATTTTTAACCATTGCGAAAATTGCAAAATAGTAGAGGAATTTTCGATTCAGTTTAGTCCGCTCTGCTCAGAAGTGCGATAATTTAATGCCATCCTGTAATTCGAAAATAAAATTTAACAATTATCAATTTTAATCCCCGGGAAAAAAATTAATTGGGTGGCACAGAAAACCTATAATTTACTTACGAATTCAACATCGATAACTAAGAAGATTTGATGGTTTAACAAATCGCTAATGTTATTTAGCTTAACTTTGCTATTTTAATATAGAAAATTGACTGTCTGTATGTTACTGTTACTATTGACTATAGATTTGAATCAGTGAAGTTTTCAGCTGTGTTTTTCCGTATAAACTTTAAATAAACTTAAATAGAACTTAACTAGACTTTAATAGACTTAAATAGAAGATCACGAAACTTGGAAAAAAAGTGTTATGCCAATATTTATCGCATTTCAGCAACATTTCTCGTTAGTTCTAGCAAAATTCAAAAATTAAAAATGCAACATACTCAAATCGAAATACGAACGCGCTCTAATCATTATCATGAAAAAAATTTCGACGTATATTATGACGATATGGAATAATTTTTTGCGACAAACCTCGGTAAAAAATGCGATACGATAAAGGGGATGAGATTTCGACGGAATATTTTTCTGTAAAACTTGGAACTCCTTGCTTCGATCTGAGACACGACGGATAATGGAATACGTGTGTCTATCGGGTATACGAATGGGGACAATGCGTATAAATCTATTCTCAAGTTGATAGATATGCAATGCGCTCGTGAGAGCGAGCACCAACTGAAAACGGATCGCTGACCCGTTCTATTGTTGAGACATTTCCTATTATAGTCATATATACGCTGAAAAAGAGTTTGCAACACTTTTATGTCTACAGTTCTACAGAATAAAAATGTACATGATTTCTATATAAAATTAGGTACGGATGTAAGTTCGATATAAGTCACAAGCTTTAGAAAAGCATATTGAATCTTTGCAGCAAAGTGAATCTTTGGATAATAGTAGCATCTTTGAATAAAAGTATAATAAAGAAAGAAATTATGAAATTAAGTTTAATATATATATATAAGTATATGTATAATAGCAATTTTGAAAATAAAATGATTTTCAAATGATTAGATACATTGAAAGAAAAGATTGTCTGCAACAAATTAGATAATAAAGTTTGACATTTTTAATTGGCTGTAAGAGTTAATTTTTGGTTGCGTTAGTCTATTCGCAATATCAGTACAGGATTTCGATAGGCTAACGCAACTAAAAATTGACTACCAAAAAAAAAAAATGATATGATAAAGATCGATATAATCAATCTTTTCTTTTATTATAGGAATTCTTCATAAAAAATTTTTTTATTATAAATTTATATAATTTTTTTCTCTTTTTTTTCCCCTTTTCGCTTTCTTTTTTTATAATTTCTTTTTATAACCTCTTCTCTTTTTATAATTTGAGATCTTACTTCAACTTAATACTATAATTATTTAATATATTGCGGTGATGATTATTTCACTTTCGTCTAACTATACGTACGTATCAAACACGCATTATTGAATCATCGTGCAATTAATAATTACGGATGATTAATGTAAGTTATTGCAACGTATCGTCGCCATCCGGCGGCTAATTGACGCACTCGCAATTATTAATGATAATATTACAATCAATCATTATCGCTAATTTTCGCGGAATGTACAACATGGAAATTATAGTTTTTACATCAAATTGACTACACACAATAATTCAGCTCCTCATCACAGTTATCCTTGTTATCATGATATTTGCATGTAATAAATACATTAACGAAGTAATTTTAGCTATATTAAATGTAAATTAAAATCTAAAATGATATATTATAATTATCTGTGCTACCAAATTGAACTAAACATATATTTTCGCAATTCTCTCTTATTCTCTGAAAATAACAATAAATTGTAAAAACGCTAAATTTTTCTCTTGTAATTTAATGCATACACGATTTTTCATGAAGATAGAGAAAGAATGGTAGTTTCTGTCTTAGTTTGAACTCATCTATTAAAAAATGGAGGGAAAGGCGCAATTTATAGACCGATATTTTCATACGCTGGTAACGAGCAGGAAGTAGCCGAGGCAATGGGACTTGCGGGTTAAGTGGATGAGAAAAGTTTCCCTAATATTACCGGGAGGCAAGAGAGAGATTGATCTGCAGGAGAGCTCGTCGAAGGGATTAGTCGTAGTCCGACTAGTCCCGTGCGATTTTCATCAGGTGATGGTACTTTAACTATAGATTAAAGGATTCGTCTGGTAACCTGAAATGAGATCCGCCTTCCCTACGAGACCGAAAACCCAAATCAGCCAGCAGATACGATGAAAAGGGGGATACATCATTGGCGACGAATTTACGGATAGTTGAAAAAGACTCCAATCTGATAGAGTCCTCATGAACCTTTAACGAATTTACTCGGCTGCATTTGCGCAAAATACTATATGGTACACTGAATCGGGTCGAATTGCGTTGGTTATCCTTTCAAGGAACGGATTTATGCGAGATTTTAAGCAATCTGTGCATCATATAACATGCCAATTTTGAATTTTTAAATTCATTCCAAAGAGAAATTATCAGAGTTGGTCGGAAAAGTCCAGTAAGTGGAAAAAAAAACCACGATAAATTTCAGTTTTTATTCCACGATTTTATCAAATGAAATTAATTTAGTAAAAACTATTAAAAAACGAATATGTAATACTAAGATATATTCATGTAACTTTAAAAAAGAGATATTTTGGCTTTAATTAGTAAATTAACAATTTATGAGTTTAAAGAAAAATGAAATTAGTAGTAACGAATCAATAGTAACGAATCAATAGTAATAAAACCTTATAATAATAAAATGTCTTTTTATTTCAAATTAATATTTAAAATACATTTTAAAATAAAAACATTGGAAATATAAATGTTACTAAATGTTATATTAATTTTTAAACGAGAAAAATAGTAACAGAATTACAAATGTTTATTAATATAGATTGAAGTTGCCTGTAAATTAGAATATCGATAAAAAGATTTACTATTTATTTTATCGTTTTCAATAAAACAGATTAATTTTTATCGGTTTTAATTTAGCACATGCGAAATTTTACCAACTTTGGCAATTATCCTTTCCTAAATAAATTCTCATTTTGATTACCATTCGATGTTCAATTAAAAGACAAGAAGCACGAGCTCGTAATTCAAATAACTTATAGTTCGATGCGTTGATTATTATAATTCGGACGTTAACACACTGGGTTTAATTTGCAAGGAGTTGTGAGACCGTTAGACGTTTCATCGATAACCGAGCTGATGACTCTCGCGAGAGAGTGCGAATGCCAGGAAGCGCTATTCGACATTATCGAAGCCCGCGATATCCATCAGCCTAATGGTCTCGCAGCTAAGGTGAGCGTGTAAAGCTCATTAAAAGCTCGTTAGAAAGCCGCCACCGGCATACCGGGACGGTCGGGAAATCGGTCAGAAAAGTGGAGATCGAACGCGAGAGGAATAAAAACGATTGAAGTAAACTTGCGATTTACTGAATTTATCGCGAAATACGTGATGTATACAGCAGCTGTATTTTTTTATGTAATGACACCGGTTGTTGCTTCCTAATCTATATATATATACAAGATCATTAGAAAACTTTATGTACGTCCAATTTCTTATTTATTTTGCCATACAACGCTATTTAAATTTCATTAAAAGTAATAGATCTAGATATTTTGAAGTTCACTAACGTTTACAAGTACTAAAATATAAACGCGTGACAATATCGAAATATTTACCTGAGTCATGGTGTCGCCGTTAACTTTCAATTTCGACTGGAAATTGCTCTGCTCCAAGAGGATCATTGCGTTGTTAATGTAAACGTCCACGCCGTATCTGCCTGGTCTCCTGGTGATCCACAGGGGTGGGTTGCCCTCCAACTCGGAAGATATATAATCCCTCAGCTCCTCGATTGTCAAAGGCCGGTTCGCTAAAATCAACAAAGACGATATCTTGTTAGCATTTTATATCTTCATAGAAATACCTTGAATGTTTGAAATGTTTCTTTTTTTATTATTTTGAAGATGAATGCGCTTCGAAAGAGCTACTTGAAGTTCAGACTATCACAAGGATCGCGATTTAGTTCTTCAAGACTGCAAAGTTTTTAGTTCCTGAAGATTTTTATTCTCGGTGAAAAGAGACAAAGGAAGAGAAACAGAGAGAGGGAGAGAGAAGAATATGCGAAGAAAAACGTTGAAAATAACGTAAATGGCGATAGAAGAGCTGGAGATAGAGCAACTTCAAAAAGTCCACGGCGAAGCTACAATGCTCGTCGCTTTATTATCCCGTTACCGGAGAACGTCCTCGTAATCTTGAGGTTTTTTTCTCTCATACGGATGGATAATAGAGAACGGGGGAAAGAAATACCCTGCTATTGTTATTTGATGTGAAAGTCAGCTGTGATAGAAGCTTAATCGAATTTTTAACGAAAGTAAAATATTTTTTCTTACATTTTTTCAAATTCTCTCTCAAATTTTTTTTGTAATGCATTTTATTAATCGTTTAGTTTACAAGAATCTCGAAAGCAATTCTCTTTGGATAGGGTTTTGTAATAAATATATGTATCTCTCGTAAAAACTGTAACAGAGAAGAGCTAGAAAGATAAGATATATGTACGTGTTTTTGAACTTCAAACAAAAATCTTAAAAAAACAAATTAAATGTAGAGTACTGAATATCTATAGGTAGAGAATTTTATTGCATGTCATTTTATGTAAATGGCAATCAGATATAAGCCATCCTCTGTTCTAAATTTCAACATTTTTCAGAATCAAAATTGCATTTTGGTGTACGAATAAACGGAAATTATTCTACTCTATCATGCTCTTATCTTAGCATGAGAATGTGCACGCCTCCCTTGAGTGCGACCTATTGAATATCGTGGCAACGGGCATTGTAGTTTCTAAGAACAGCCTTCACGACACAAGCGAGTATATGTACCGTTCCTCGCAAGAGTCCTGAAAAAGTCCAATCTTCTTGAGGAAGAAAGCGACTGGGCGGTAGTACTGCCAACAATGACGCTCATTACGAACGCTAGGAACTAAGTCCCCGTTTCGTAAACCATCGGCCGTTTTATCCCGCGAAAGTTTCCAGAACAAGAAAGCTGACACCATAAAATCTCGTTCTCCCGACAGCGCAGTGACGATTCGAGTGGGCATTTTCCTTTCGAAAAATAATTCCCCTCGTCCGCGAGTTTCTTATGGAATTGCACGACGTTTTATTCGTGACTCGAAAATGTATTTCATATTAATCATATCAGACAACATGCAATGTCTAGAAGATATCTTCATAATATCTTTTAGATATCTTTTAAATTACAAATGTAAAATTAATTTTAAACCTAAACTATAACTACTTATCTTTTTCTGTGATTCTTGAAAATAGAAATAGAATTCAATGCTTGGAAATAAACATGTATATCTCAAAAGAGTCGGATGCGGAGTCCACTTAGCACTACGAATGATAAAACATTTGATTGACCAACCAAAGAAAAAATTTTGTTGATTGTCTAATAAATTGTTAATTGTCTAATAAAAAAATGCTTCGAAGAATTTGTAGTATTAACTGGACCATAACTTTTTATGATGTCTTTACACACACCTTTAGACATGTATTATCTAGAACCGCCAGTTCGAGGAAGTGTTACTTCGACACTTTTTAATATCTTTGGATTCTCTCGCAACTTAAATTCTCACGTACTTTTATCTTCTCAAATTTTTAACGACTGCGTGAACAATCGTTCGTGCATTGCAGACGGAAAAATACGGGAACTTTTTTTAACGTGCGTAACTACGTCGGCGGTAATTCGCACGCGAGGAACTCGGACGATTCGCGCGTAAAACGGCGCAATAGGGTAATCGTAAAGTTTATGATCCATCGTCATATAAATCGTTGGAACTAGACGATTACGACATCGGGAGAAGTCGCTCATCGCGTTGCCAGAGTAACGTTTTGATGGCTGCGATTCAAGGTGTAAAAGTCAAAGCTAGTTGGCGAGTTTATAGCGAGTGTCGTTTTTCGCGATATATAAAAATACAGGATGAGGGTCAATTGGGGATGACATTTTTTTTCTCAGAATATATGTCTCATTAATATACTATGTGCATATTGAAAACAAATTTTACGTATAATAATTTCTCTATCAGAAGAGCCGCATGCTCAAGTAGCTCTTTCGCGAACTACATCTTATTAAGATAAATTTCTTTCGATACGCCATTTCTTCAACGTAAAGCGACTTCTGGCTTATCCTACATATCGGAGAAGTTCACTGCTCTAGTCTAGAATGGCGCATCGTGCCACGCCATATAACGCTTTTATATCTCCGTGACGCCTCGTCAATCATCCCTGAATGGTTGCATGCTTGATCATTCTTCCGCTAGGTGAGAAGCTTCGGAAGGGGATACGCGAAGCGCATACAGAAAGCGTTGTAGCTTCAATATATTATACGAAACACTACGCGTGTGTGAATTTGAATGTAAACGATATACTCGTTCCTACTCTAAATGTCTTAATTTTTTAAGAAGAAAATCGAGCTTTTAAAAAATCAGCTAAAAAAAAAGAAATTTTGAAAATTGATTGTGTTGTTCTTCCATTCATTTTTTTTTTATTCTTTATTATTTCTTTATTACAGATTTTGTTATACATATTGTTCTCTTTTAGATGGTTAAAATTTTATAAACTTATTGTATCTCAAATAGATTGTATCTCGAGTACTTATTTATCTCAAATAATTTACCCTGTTAAAAAAAAAGAAATTTGCTTCCGTTACATTTGTAATATTTCAAGAAGGTACATTAAAGATATTTAATGTTGTCAATGTTGAAAATGAAGTTATAAGTAACTTAAATTTAACGTTTACTTATATTAAATTTCATGCAAATCTATATAAAATTTAATAAAAAATGTACCAAATTTCGTAAAATTTTATGAAAAGTACGTATACTAAATTTCATGTACATGTACAAATATATATTTTTCAATTGTAGATACATTAAATTTAATTTAGTGTCACAAAATTAAATTTGATTTATGTAACTTATAAACGCATTAAAAATTTCATAACATTTTTAACAGTGTAGTGTAATGAAAAATTGCTAAATTAATTTATTGGATCATCCTGGTAGTCTCATTATACGAAAAAACAAGAATTTTTGCGAATCGCCGATAAGTCGGGATAGTAATGCTAGGCACGTTTGGAAATTGGTTAAAAGCAGTGATCGTATTATCGCGGATCGAAATAGAGCTTTATTCGCGCCGACTGGATTTTTATAGCGCGTCTCCCGGCGCATTTTTCTTGTTGGCCACCGGAGCGCCTTTATACGGTCGTGATCGAGTCGCGCAGGGCGTATGTATGCCTTTCAGAGGGCAATATCTCTGGCTTCGGATACGAGGCTCTCGCGAACATTTTGTCCCAGCAGCCGAGCCTTTCCGCTGCTCTTTCAACGAGAGGGACGCAGAGGGGAAGGCGGAGGACTGCCCGAATGATTAAGCTGCCGATCGATTCGCATTTATTTTCTACCCCGCCACCCGTGATGGCGGGCGACGCGGGGCACAGGTGGTACGGCCGACCGCAAAACGAGAACAACTCGCGCAAAGCTGCTTGCGCATCGATTTATATCCCCCAACCCTCCTGCCTTCACTCTGACGTCTCTTCTGTCCCCTTTCGCCGTAGCCGGAATCCGACTTTCGAACATGCACATGTCGGTTACGTTTGATGAGGACGAATTGCGTTGTTGCTTTATTGAATGTTTATTCAAATGCGACAGAAATGGTATAGCCAGATTCTAGAGAAAAGTACTGCTTCAGAAGTACTTAGTATATTTGTGAAATAATAATGATAGGTAGAAAAAGGGATATAAAAAATGTAGCACTTCCTTTTTAATTTGTTGATTAAGGAAAATTAATTAACTTATCATTTGAAAAAACTTTTGCGGATAAGACAAATTAATCTGTCATAAAAATTTAAAGATTTAATTAAAATTTGTATTTTTAATTGTAATATTCTTATTACTTAATGCATTATAAGTAAATTGTTTGCTTATTTATCCAAAAACATCTCTCTCTGTTTTTGATTTTATATTATTATATATACATATTTACTTGAATTTATATTAGAAATAAATCAAGAAATATTTCAATTTTATAGTTGCTATGGACGAATTAATTCGTCTCTATACAGAATTGCACAGGACATGCTTTTGATCGATGAATTCCCGAATAATTAATAAATTAATACATACAATTAAAGACAAAGAACTAATTAATAAGTTAAAAAATATAATGAAAAATGCTTTAATTTTCTGCTTCATTATTTATAATTTAATATTGAAAAATAGTGATTAATTATTTATTTTATTAAGTATTTTGTTAAAAGTATTGAAAGTATTGTGATTAAAAGTATTAAGAATATTAAAAACATTGTTGTATATCTCAAAATAATAAGTAATTTCCAACATTAAATTAGTCAATATATTAAAAAAAGTTAACTAAATTTTAAAAAAAGGTAACTAAATTTTATTATACATTTGTTTGAATAGTACTAACAAAATATTGTACAAATATTTGTACAATAAATAAACATTTATTTAAAAAAAAATTATATTTAAATTACATAAATATATATTTATATTTAGTAAATATTTCATTAGTACTAGTCAAATAAACATTTAATAAAATTTAGTATTCTTTTTCAGTGTATTAAATTGAATTTTTGTAAGAAATTCACACGTCAGACATCAAATATATATTCCTTATTCTCAAATTAATTTAAATTTTATTTCTATTGTTCTTAAATGTTTATCATATTATTGTTCATAGGAATACACGTGGTATATATATATATACATCATCAAATATATGAGTATTCAGCTGTCCTGCTGAGAACTTAGCTGATCGTGCGAAGATCAGTTATTTGTACGAACTATAGAAGAAC